CACAGCACAAACTTAGAGGGTTCTTGAACTATTATCAAAGGGCAATATGAAACCACAGTGTTGCTACTTGACGTTTGAGATACCACTTGCTGATATCTTTCATGAATAAAGATTTTACACTAGAAATTGTTAGCACATTCAGACAGAAATGGCATTTGGATCGAAACATATAAAGATAAGAAGGAAACAGTGAATAGGTGCAGACAAGTCACATACATCTTTGACTGAATTAACGATTGATGGCTCCTGTTAGTCAATGATGTGTCGATCCGTCTCGAGAAATCACATTTGTATGTTTTGTGTTATTCACTGAATATGCTAGTGCCACATTCATGATACGACAAATGGGCTACAAAGGTACATAGAGGTCTTTGTAGTTGTCATATGTAAGTTTCTCATCATAACCAAAGAATACGACTACTATGGTAACATAGCTGCATCTACTGAGACTTCTGCAACGACAGAAAGGAACAGGTGGTTTAGAAGAAGCTGTGTGTTTTAAGTGGCTACACAAGGTGATATGATGACATCTTTGAATGTCTTTTGTCTCTCTACAGATGCATCAATGATAGCCAAAACAATGTGATCACAAGACGGTTGCCTTTGTTCATACAAACGGCACAGGTTACTGCAGGTGGAAATGGTGGGCTGGTTTGGATCTCAAGCAAACTCACAGTTACTAGTCACGTATTTTACAGTCGCATCATTTACTTCAAATTAAGGCTTACCGATTTTGGACAAGTTATTACATGTAAACTGCAACGGTCTATATCGAAATGTTTCCTGTATAAGCAGAACTTTTTAATGCATTAATGTCGATATCTACATTTACATCTTTATAGATACTGGGGTGGTATTGTATGCTGTAGAGGTACTATCGTGTAACGTAACAGAATGTGTTCAAAACTCAAAATGCATGTGCAAAAAGATTCACTTTCCTTTCAACAAAGAAAAACAAAGAAAGAGTGAACCTATAGTCTCTGTTTGCAGTGAAAAGCAATGCCGATGAATTTCACTTTAAACAAGAAAGTAAATCGAATAAAGTGAAATTAAGATTGCGAATCCTCATAATTTTACCTTGCCAACTGAACATTTAAATATCAGAATTTTATTAAACTTAGGATAAAACGTTTGTTTAACAAACGATCTTAGTTTTCAAATCGTTATTATTGGTTTGTATTACAAGGGTGTGTGCACATTAAATGAAACACCGAGAACAACTAGGGTTGGTCTAAGTTAACGCTCATCACGCTACCCTCAAGTGCATTTGTTTCAATGTGTTCCAACTTCTGTACTTTCACCCCTTGTAATACAAACCAATAGCTCGATTTGAATCTATGATCGTTTGTTAAACAACTTTATCCTAAGTTGAATAAAATTCTGAGATTCAAATGTTCAAGTGGCGCAGGTAAAAATTATGAGGATTTTGCAATCTTCATTTCACTTTTATTTGATTTACTTTCTTGTTTAAAGTGAAATTCATTATCAATCCACTGCAAACAGACTATAGTTAACGTTGGACATTTGATCATAAGCACACCTCGCCGAATCCGGGATGGTCTTGCGAATAGAGTTGGATTCACACGATACTTATAGAGTGTGACTGTTCATGGTAAATATGGCGTGATTGACAGTGGGGCACAAAGAACATTTATCGTCATCTTACCTTCTACGAATAATACAAATCGCGGATGTCCCCTGTCACACCGGTAAACTATTGATCTCATTGAAAACATAAAATACCAATTGCTGTGACATCTGTTTCATTGAATATGCCTTACTTTTGAATACTTTATATAAAGCAACTTATTCTATTTGTACGTTGTATTATATTTGCCATTTTGGCAATGGTAAACTATTGTTAATACGTTAATCCTCCTTAACACAGTATTGTTGAGAAATGAACACATTTTCAAGATATATGATTGTATGCACATTGTGTAATCGTAACACGGGTTGCGTCATCGACCAATTATAAACAAGAAGTTGTCTGTCACAGATGTGGACTCATGTTTATCATCCACTCCATGTCGACGTCTTGATTTCAGCCATGATGTCGAGGGGGACGTGGAAGCATTCAAACGCTGAAACACAGCAATTATGTAGTCTTAATACCAACGTTCACAAGTACAACAAGTGCGGCCACAGCCTGTTCGTAGTCATGAGATATCTGTGCCAAAAGCAGGGTCGATGTTTTGCTGATACAGTTGCAAAGCTAGTTCATTGTTCACCTGAAAAAGGTAACGTTGGGTAGCTTAGTTGTTAAAGCTTTCGCCCGTCACGCCGAAGATCCGGGTTCGATTCCCCATGGGTACAATGTGTGAAGCCCATTTTTAGTGTCCCCCGCCGTGATATTGCTGGAATACTGCTATGAGCGGCGTAAAACTAAACTCATTCGCCCCTCTTACAACATTGGGACAATCATGGTACAAATGTAAATGGGATCGGACGTCAAATATTGGTCAGTGATGCGTGAAAAAATGTCTTTCACACGTCCACCATAAATCTTCCTGAAAGCTTTTCGGGATTATTGATTGCTATAATCTTGATCAAGCCAGTTATTTGCTATTTGCAAGTTATTAGATAAATCAGTGTCATTTTCCAGATGATTGGGGAAAAAGAATGCAGCATTAACAAAAGTAACTGATGCTCAGCATTGACAAATAAATTATGTCGATCTTGATATTTAATTGAGGTAAGAAAACATGAGTGTATGACCGTACGTTTTATGTATACACTTATTAATTGGGCGTTACGCAATAGTGTTTATAATAATTATTCATATGCAATTAATATTTTAGAGAAATGGATATCCTCATATTCCTGTTGCAAACTGACAAAAACATACCGGTAGGAATGCACATACCTTGGGTAACCTCTTCTGTATGTCAAGACAAACATTAAGAATCTCTATTCACCGTTGTCTTAGCATGGAGTCAATATTATATCATAATAGCGAAGAAACAGTTTCCATAATCATACAAAATATATCATACAAATCTTTAACATAATCCACCAACAAATATTTTGACTTTACAAACCTGAGACAGGGAACCTTCCATGTTGAGTATTTGTATTGCCATGTTTACTGGAACGGGGACAACTGACCCCAGGGCAATGATCCAGCCGAAGACGATGGCAGTCTGCGGATACTCGTACCCTCCGTATCTTGGAGGAGTGTAGGACGCCAGTGTCAATACCAAACCAGCCTGAAGAGATACGGTATTTACATCCCAAAATATAAACATACAGCATCGTGGCATGCAGAGGTATCGGGTTACACTTTGCTGATGGCAATATTTACGAAAATAATGAATTTACTTTTCTTTCGCGAATCGTGCGACATATGTCATTGAAGAGATAATAACTCAATGCAATTCACTGTGCAGAGTTGTGTCCCTTGGGCACGCCAGAGAACTATGATCATGGGTTCAAATCGTTGTTCGAAACGAGACCAGCATCACGTCGGACATTCATCCCAAAACGACACGCCGTGTTATAACAGTAACACTGACAAATGCGGTTCTAAATTCACTCATTTGTTTACAATTTAAGCATATTGAAATGTCAGCTGGAAGTAGTATTATCTACAATGCCACGCGGTGACGCAATGCCCTATGTGTGTTCTACTATACATTATGAAATGTGTAAGATCAAACCACCTACAGCCATTACAACAGGGGTAATGATGAAACAGGACACTTTGTAGATTACAGGAAGACGTTTCCCAGTCATCATTTCCACATCAGCTGAGAAACGCTCAGCACCTGTGAAATACATCCATGAAAGGTTACATCTACTAAAGACGACACCCCAAGTAAACGATACAAAGATAACATTTATAAACATAAAATGCAACGTCATGCAATTTGTCCTTGTGTACCTAACAAGGCATCTGTAACACTTGCTATAATTTGGATTACATTTTCCTTGTAAGGTACAGATTCTAGTACTTCAATTGGGTTGAGTCCCATCCGGGATTCGGACCCACGCCCTCAGAGTCAGGCATCGAATAGCCAGCAGACAAGTAAGCCGTCTAACCCACTCAGCCAGCGGAAGTTGTAAGTCGATCAACTGGTAGTCTAGACTTTGTGCACCCCTCTGATAAGTACAAATTTGCACGGCTCCCACGGTCGGAAGCTATGAATATACGATGCCATTTAGAAAGTGGTTAACTGACTCTAAGAGTGTGGGTTCGAATCCCGGGTGGGACGCAACCCATTTAAAGTACTGGAATCTGTACTTTACGGAGAAAGTGTAATCCCACATATAACATGTGTTTCGTTTGACCAAAGTAATCGTGCCTTGACCTTTGTTGTGCCGATCAACCTAACCCTACTGCACTTATCTACTAAGATTTGGTTTTACAAACGGTCGTGTGTCACTTGATAGAACTCGTGTTATAAATATAATACTTGATGTTGATAATAATACAGAAATGGATATTAAAATGTTGAATGCCACATTAAACCGATTCGTTCCATGAATTGTATTTCTTATACAGAATAGCAAATGTTGTAAATGTCTTTACCGTAACACCAGCCAACAGCCAGACACTCTAGAACAGCAATAACATAACTTGCCACTGCCCCGACATACCAGTCAACCAACTGGAAAATGTAGACTCCGCCCTGGAACAGATTGCACATATTGACGTACAAATCACTGGTAGTGCTCCCTTCAAATGATTAACTCTGCAATCATCTCGAAGTGAAGTGCAGCAAAACACTGTTGTGTCGAACATACAATGTGTGAAGCCTATTTCTGGTGTGCCCCGCCGTGATATTGCTGGAATACCGCTAAAACGGCGTAAAACTTGCTCGCTCGCTTACTTGGATAACTGGAAACATTTAATCGTTTTATTGACTATGCCTGTAGATCTTTGACTGCGAGAGGCACCTGCATACATCTAAATTATTACATATCTAAAATATTAGAGATTTTCACAAGACTGAATTAAATATCAATCCATTCCTGTTCAAATGAGTCCAGAACCATCATATAATCAAATCCAAACACATCCATCCAACCAACCAACGAACTACCAAGAGGTGAAGGAAGTGACATGCAAAGGCCCTAGCTTTAAACATCCAAGGCCTAAGTAAAGCTTTTAAAATATTCTGTGGAAGATATGTGGACATTTCAAAATTTGACATATAAGACATATAAATTATATCTGATGCAGTTCCCTATCTTGACGTGTAGCCTGTGTTTTCTATCATGAGTGGGGCGGTGGGGTAGGCTAGTGGTTAAAGCGTTCGCCCTTCGCGCCGAAGACCCGGATTCGATTCCTCACATTTGCACAATGTTTGATTTCTTGTGTCCCCCTCCGTGATATTGCTGAAAGCGGCATAAAACTCAACTCACTCACACTATCATGAGTAGTTGAGGATGATACCTCATTTGTCAGACACACCAGTTGTCAAACACTTGAGTGAGGGTGGAGAAGGCTCACCCCTACAGTAATAATAGATCAGCCCGATCAGCTTAAACTCATCCATGCAAGAGTCTCCTCAAGACACACGTCCAACGCATCGTGAATCGTCCACGTGCCCCATCCAAGATCCAGGCAGAATTCGAGATGGCTGCCATCAGAGCTGTCCAATTGGAATTCCCATCTGCAGAAGTGACAGTATTTTTTTCCCTTTGCCCAGGCGAAATGACAGAAGGGACAAGCCCTTGGAAAGAGAGCTACCGTGAAGACCCTGAAGTGGAGAAATAGATTCGACGGGCATCTGCCTTGCCTCCTGTCCCGATGTGCTTGCAGCTGTTTCATTCAACGATAACATAGTGACGACCTGGGTGCACAATGACTCCCTATTTCCACTGTCCATGTGGAATCATCATGACACCTTCGGTCCAAGAACAGACAACTGCCTGGAAGGGTTCAACACCGATTGAATACCAGCCTATCAAGCCGACACCCGAACATGCATCGCCTGACCGTTATTTTGACGATAATAGAGAAGCCAGACCGTCTGGAGATTGTCCAGTTGGACTTTGGTGCTGCGCCTCCAGCACGGAAGAGAGTGTATAGAGAATTATCTTACCTCACACATAAATGTCGCTTTCTGATTGGCTGAGTGCTCTTCTATTATTTTCAATGTACCCCGCTTACAAGCGAGTAACATTTCAATGTACCCCGGTCTCAATGGCAACTCAATTGGTACTTCGTGGTAGTAATTCTTTATCTCGAATAACTTTGAATCACGTATGATGTACGGAAATTACCGATGTTTTGCGAATGCAAGTCGATGGAAGGGAAATAACTCTAAATCTGTTTTTCTTGTCAGGCACATCTAGCGATGGCTACAAAAAGATTTATACCCGTGCTTCAAACAATTTAAAATTAACATTGAGGTGTTCGGTAGGATAAATACGTTGTTCACTGGTCACGAGGGGGGCATGGGTTGCTGTACCCTCGATGTTTGTTTATGTTCAGGTTGGACAGGTTGCAGGAATAGAGGAAGAGATGACGACGATTCCGATCCAGTAGATGCATGCTGTGGGGAGGCTGAGTTAATCTGACAATATCAATGAATATCATCATGTGTTGTCTTTTAGTACTGGTAAGTACAATATTTTTAAAAAGTGATAACTAAAACATCCCTGACTTTCAGTGCTTTATGTAGTTTTAGTGCTTTATCGCTCATTAAAATGTGTGTTGTTTGTGTATATATGTAACATTATAATATAAATGTCCCCTTATTCTTTCAAAGTGTGTGACTAAAGGACTACCAGTTGGACTAAAGTAAAGCCAGAAATGCTTGGAAAATGCTTTTTGGCTTCAATATCAATATGATGAATTTGACACAAGATAAAAACACATATATGATACATGTACGACTCTACCTAGTTGGATATTAAAGCTCAGATGAAAAAATGCGCTTGAGGGGTGTCTTCACAGGTGGAAATTTTGACGTTTTAACAACATTTGTAAATATTCTAAGTACAAACTGTAGTTTTGAAATACAGACTTTAATTATTCATATAGCCTCAATTAATTAAATGACATAAATGATTGTAAAAAGTGGTTTTTTTAACATCTACATGTGAAAAAGATGGAACTCTGGTAGTAGTTCCAATCGCATAGATAATCTTGTTCACCCATAGAAGTTTCATTTCGTGTATGAGCATTGAACTGGCAACATGCGACTTGACATCTCTGCAGAACAATTAATTTCAAATTTATTCCAGTATTTCATACTGGAGAAACAAAGGGGGGAAACCTCTCGTCAGTTATGACCATGTTTATTATAGAATGTGTAAAGCCCTTAATTTGACATATAGTCAGGTTTACAAAGTTGTAAACAAATCAGTTACATCAGGGGTCTACTAGTTGACTAGCCGTTGCATGTGTCAATTACAGGTGCCACCTGTGGGTCCGGATATGCACATCATTTCTCAGACACTTTGTATTATCACAATAGTATAACAAGCCACACTCACGACATAATCGGTGTCATACAATGGAGGGTGCGTATAGGCTTATTGAGTACAGTGGAATCTGTCTATTACGGACTGGCCTGGGACCGACTCATTTGTCCGGATTTTAATGCAGTTCGGATTAGACACCTTTTGTCCGTTACCGTATACACTGGACGGTTTATCTATCTATAGGTTACACTTTCGTCAAACTTGTTTTTTATTTCATACAGTTACTTACATGAGTTGTCAACACAAGACCAACAATGAAGACAGCTACCACAAACACGGAAGCCATGATCGTCTGCTGATGCCTGAGTTGAAACCGCTGTGGGAGTATATCTTCCATACAACAGAGAGCTGTCTCGACATGTCCGAACTATTTACACGAAACATGCTTCGACAAAATATGAATTCAATGGCAGTAAGAGAAAACAACAGCCACAAAATGTACTTTATGATATAGTAAGTCACACGTGATACACTGTGCCCTGTACACTTCCCCCTTGGCCCTTGACACTTGCCTCCACAGCAGTCATAAAGACGTCCACTGCTCAAAGATGTTATTATCGTCTCTTCACGTTTTTCATCTTGTGCCAAAACAATTTATCTGTTTCACGTTTTAACACTATAAACGTTGGTCGATAGGCATCCTTCAAATCTTCGTTTTGTTACTTATTATTAAAACTATGTTTAGAATCGTTGTACAACAGGTTTGTGATTGCATATTGTTTTTTTGAAAATCAGTTTTTATTTACTTTACCATTGAGTCAACCGCCATCATCATCATGGTCGTGAAGAAGAAGACAGACCACAGCTGAGGAAGCGGAAGTAGTGCAACAGCTTCTGGGTAGATGATGAAGCCAATGCCAGGACCTGGAGTCGCGAGAGAAAACAGTTTCGTGATAATATGAATAGTCTGTTTACGAGTCTGACTGTGTCATAGGCATGGGTTATGAGTTACTTTGAATAAGTGATGACAGAAGGTGTTATCAAACAGGTATTTATATTCTGTCGCACTGTTCAACCGATGACATACATGCACGGGTATCAAGTGTTCACATGACTATTGGCTGTAATAGCCTTTCAACTCACAACGGTTCGACACTGCAAATCAAAACTACACACAGCGCTTCTACTGTAACAATATTAAATATAAATTAGTGTTTGTAGTCTTAGCAGTTTGAAAAGACCACATAACGTGCCTGATCCAGACCAGCAGTAAAATATATACATGTATTAAACAACTCTTGCCTTACCTAAAGTTACTACGTCAGCAACAAGCTGCTGTAGACTATGAGCCAGGAAGCCAACTGTTGCGAACACAACAAAGCCAGCAAACACACTCGTCAACTCGCCAATGACGGCCACAGTGATTGCATTCCTGTATATGAAAGTACAAATTACTGTTGAAAGTAAATATATCAGCTATACCACTATGAGCTATCTACGCATGATAGAGCCTAACTGCCTAAACCCACATAGCTGACTCTATGACAAGCATCATGTACATCAGGGTCTATTTGGAACAAGAATCCACATCCAAAGATCCAATCTTTACGGTCTCTGGTGCTTAAGCAGAACAAGCGGACAATGTGGTGTTCTGAATCATGGTGTACTGAGTGAGCGAGTTTAGTTTTACGCGGCACTAAGCAATATTCCAGCTATATGGCGGCGGCTTGTAAATAATCGAGTCTGGACCAGACAATCCAGTGAACAACGGCATGAGCATTGATCTGCGCAATTGGGAATCGATGACATGTGTCAACCAAGTCAGCGAGCCTGACCACCCGATCCCGTTCGTCGCCTCTTACAACAAGCATATTCGCCTTTTGTGGGAAGCATGGTTGCTGAAGACCTGTTCTACCCCGGATCTTCATGGGTCCATGGTGTACTGAAGAAATTAGCTGAAGTAACACGGTGTGAGATAGTAAAAGCTTTTATCTTCATGGGTCCATGGTGTACTGAAGAAATTAACTGAAGTAACACGGTGTGAGATAGTAAAAGCTTTTGATGCGTTTTTCATGATGATTTCATTCTTTTTAACTGAATGTAATGATTGAACATTAAACGTACCTTATGAGATTCGAGTGAAATGAATTGTGGCTTGCCATGACAATAAGGGTACCCCAAGCTGGACCAAGGGAGACGAACACTTGAAGGGCAGCCTCCAACCACACCTGCACATATATACATAATATGTTTCTAAGGATGCAATGTGTTCACTGTAAGCAATCTGTGTAAATACTGGAAGCAATCAACAAATATTGATCTAACAGCCAACTCTTTCACCAGACAGTCTTGACCTTTCACGACATCATAGATGTAATAAAAGAACGGCTTGTGCATATCCTACACATGTTACAAATGCATTATGGTTTGCAGAAATTGACGGGAAAAAAGGAGGTTGATTTCAAGTCTTATAACTGCCCCTTCTACGGATGTATGATTGATAGATTCTGAGGAAAAGGAGGCACAAAGATCAGTTGTGCCTACATGACGACTTGTCAGTAGCATATTTTTTTTACATTTTTCAAGCAATTCTATTTCTTTATTCAACAATTTGTGTAAATAAAATAATCTTAAAAGGAACAGTAATATAAATCTCTTGGTTCTCTATGTTTTTTCCTCACTTTTTATGCAGAAGGTGTATTGTCAGCGCGCAGGTTTTGATAAATGTCTTTTGTGACATGGTAATGAATACACCGTTTGGTATTTCTTACCTTAGTTGATCTTAAGCAAACTCGAAATGCATTTTCTCCACTTAAACTGTGCTATTTCTATTGTCAGCGCGCAGGTTTTGATAAATGTCTTTTGTGACATTTTTACAAGGTGTAGTCGTCTGAGTAGAAACAAACTAGACGATATCAAAAGATACCTTTTCAGAAATAGCACAGTTTATACATTTCGAGTTTGCTTAAGATCAACTAAGGTAAGAAATACCAAACGGTGTATTCATTACCATAAATATTCCACTATTTCAAGATCGTTGGTCAATGAGTCAAATCATTGAAATCATCTAGTACAGATACTGAGTGAATATCCTTCATATGGTAAGACGTGAAATAGGTGCAGTGGTTGAACTGTTTACGGCAATCAGAATTTCGAACAACTTAACATCTCGTGTTCTTGCTGAGATACATGATGGGTAATATTGTCATCTATGAACGTTAATACTGGTTAGATACCTGAGGATGCTGAAGATGAGTGAAGTCTAGAGTAAGGTACACCATAATCCCATCCACAGCACCCGGCATCATGCACGACATCACCAGCAACACCAGCAGCAGGATGTATGGCATCAACGCTGTCACGTACACCACCTGTTGATATATATTATACATATCTGCATCAGCGATGTTTTGTAAATCAATTATCATGATGCTTTTGCCAGTAGATGTGTTTCACTGGAACGGAATTCCGATCAATCATCACCATCAATGAAGATCGTTCGAGACAAACGTTTCTGGTGCCCTAGACTTTAGAAGAGATTGTACTCAAAATTGCAATTTTGTGTTAGTGAAACCGCAACATGGTCACTGCATCACGTAGCATGTATGTAATCCAGATAAGAAAAATAAAATCTATTTATATATTTCAGTGTTATATTAGTGATCAACAGCAAACATAAATGCCACCTTTCCAAGTGATTTGATTCCCTTGACGACGCACAGAAAAACAACAACACATGTGATGAACCAGCAGATGGCGATATGGGGTTGGATGGCGCCAAGGTCATCTATCCCTGACGAAACGCCAAGAGCCTTGTTCCTGGGGAAGTAATGACACATAGTGAGTCATAGCATTCCAACAAATGTAGCATGGCCATTCTGTAGACTGTACAAATGTGCCTCAGTTACACAGGTTAGGTTGATTTTATTGACAATGGGCAAAATATGCACGAAGGTTTAAATGGTGGTAGTTCAGGACATGTAAGAAACAGATTCATCTGACCTATACCATTTTCGACACATTGTTGCAAACAGGATCAAACTTGCTTTAATACCAAATCAGATACTTTTTGAAACAACTCATAATAAAAGAAATGGCATCTTACACTCGTGTAGTAATCTCTTTGTATTTGATGTACTGTTGAAACATAAATAACATAAACATTGGCTACCTCCTGTGATGAAAATAGTTAAGGACATGTATTTCTAAATTATTACTTTGCAAAATTAAGGAATATATCATATGAAAAAAATTATACTCACTGCCAGAACTCTTCCACTGATGTATGAACAATGGCATTAGAAGTTTCATTAGTTTCTGCATATCCTACATCTGTGTTTGCAGTTGTACATTCTGGGATATTGCTGGCTTGTGTTGGTTCCATTGGAGCATATACTGAACTATTTAGTCCAGTGTGAAGGGCAACTACACAATGTGGCGTGTTCCAGGGGTTGCCACAGGTGGTCCAGGGCAGGACGGCGGAGAAGGAGCTGTAAGTGTAGTACAGGGCCCAGGCAAACATTATGCTGTAGTAAGGGACAGCGATACAGCTGATTACCAGTTCGCAAATGCCAAGCCCTGGACAGGTCGAAATCACAATGATCCGATATGCATATGTAACAATAATAATACAGTGCCTAGAAATTATAAATATGTTTACCCCCACAGAGATACCATGCAAATCACAATGATCCGATATGCATATGTAACAATAATAATACAGTGCCTAGAAATTATAAATATGTTTACCCCCACAGAGATACCATGCAAATAGCAGAAAGCAGGAGCGAGTAGATGGGATAGCCTACCCCACGATATCAAGGCATCGGCAACACCTAACGTGTGCAACACAAAAGGTCTTTTATTTTGGAAATGTTCCAAATTGTAGGAATTAAAAATGTGAACCTACAACCCATCTCATGTTATAATGGCTATCTTGTACTGTCATGTGGGCGCTTCTTGTAATAGAATAGTGTCATGTACATGAGGTATGTTATTACCTTTCATGAGTGGACATATTGACCAAATCTTAATGGGTCCTTTAGCGGAAAACTGACCAAGAGCAACCTCCAGGATGAAGAGCGGGATTGCCAACACAGCTGTTGAGATGACGTAGGGAATCAGGAACGCCCCTTTAAAGAAACATTGGTTCAACTGGTAAGTTCCATATAATAAGTAGCTGTATAAAATCGCGAGAGAAGCATTATGTCATAATCTTTGGCAAAACATTTATATATTTAAAAAAAATAAATACATATTTGATATTATGCCTTGATACCACGACATAAAATATATTTCGCAATTTTATACCTGCTAGATAGAATCGTACATATCAACTGTTTAATTCATAATAGCGTAAGACTGCATTAAACACGCACACCTACCTCCCCCGTTCTTTTGACAGACATAAGGAAACCTCCAGAGGTTACTAAGACCCACGGAGAATCCAAGAACTGCAATCATACCCTGGAACTGGTTGGACCATTGTGGCTTCCTTACATTCAGCTCTTCTTGACTCGAATGATCCACCTGTAATACATGGATGTGGTTTCCGGATTGACAGTGAAGTTAGCTACACCACAATCCAAAATAGCCTGTCCTTAAAATGCGGTCATGGCTTGTTGTCATCGGATCTGGTACAGTGCGGTATAGTGATATAGTCTGAATTCAGTAGTTTACAAGATTTCAAATCAGGTAGGTTCATGCCTGACCTTCAAATGATTGGCTATAACGGTTATAACGTTCACCCATTCCAACGAAGACTCGGGTTGGATCCCCTCAGGTATACAATGTGTGGGGCCCATTTCTGCTATTATCCGATGTGATATTGTTTAAATATTTCAAAAACTATACTCGTTTATGTGCAATATATCATCATAATACACTGCAATTGTATGGGCAATTTATATCTTTATATTTTCCGACCTATCGAGAGATATCTCAACATTAACAGAAAACTGTAGACACAATTGTTTACCATGTTACTTCAATGAAATTATTTAAAAGAATGACATCAAGTTACCTTTTTATAGAATAGACTTGACTTACCTTCTTCCCCCGGACAAGTTCCGATAAACACGTATCATTTTCCTGATCGTTCATATTGCAGATGAATGTATCTACCAGAAAATGTATACAGTGCAGTGTGAGGGAATATTATATATTCATTGTAAACTGAACAGCTGTGCTCACATTCTTGTGTAACTTGTGGAAAGAATGCGTATTCTTTCACACCGTTTGAGATAATAGACATTAAACGGCAGTTGGTGTTCCATGGTGATGACGTTAGGTCAGATTAACACGGACTACTTTAATAAAATAATGTAATTCACAAATGTGTAATCTGGGATTCGAACCCTCACTCTCAGAGTCAGCCGCCGAATCGACAGCACACAAAGCCAGCCACCTAACCCACTCAGCCACTGTGGCTTTAGTAACTGGCGATTATTTGCCTCTGAGAGTGAGTGTTCGAATCCCGGATAGGACTCAACCTAATAAAAGTCCTGGATTCTGTAATTCACTGGGAAAGTGTAATCCCAAATACAACAAATGTTACATTGGACCTCTTTCAAAATGGCATTGTGTATTCACAGTAAATATTATCTAACACGACTGTACACGTTATTCATATTTTAACGTATTTTATAGGAATTTGCTACTAAAGGCCAGTCATAACCATATCATGAGCATTTGTGTATAAATCACTATCTACTAGTGTTTGCACCAAGTGTCCCTTAGGCAAATCAAGTGTTTATTTGAATGCTAACCTATTTCACCTTACCTCAACCTACGTCAAACTAAGCGATTATACAACCCCAAACTTCCAATCCCCAAACTATTCCTTTAGAATAATATTATCTTTTTTACCATTGGCAGTATTGACAGGAAATTCTTATACAATATCCTTCTCTGTAGACAAGCTTTCTTTCCATGTCAATATATCATGTTATTAAAGCTAAGAAACTTACCATAACGATGTGTTGTTGCTTTTGACCCGTGAAGGTCCGGGTTAGCATGAACCTTTAGTAACCCATGCTTGTCGTAAGAGGCGACTAACGGGATCGGGTAGTCAGGCTCGCTGACTTGGTTGACACATGTCATCGGTTCCCAATTGCGCAGATCGATGCTCATGCTTTTGATCACTGGATTGTCTGGTCCAGACTTGATTATTTACAGACCGCCGCCATATAGCTGGAATATTGCTGAGTGTGGCGTAAAACTAAACTCACTCACTCACTGTTGCTTTTGTAACTCTATCCTCTACCTTTGGCCGATCGCCTACGTCCAAAAAGAACAATCAATTTGTATTTATCTGACTGGAGACTGGTCTGACATACTTATTTGAAGGAGTTAATGGTTTAATCAGCAAATAATCTGTTTACCTTACAAACATGTACCTCGGAAGCTGCAGAGGTTAAATACTTTCCGAAATGGGTATGGAACAATCCATTACCGAATTGGTGACATTGGTGACTGCAACGTTCATTCTTGTCTTCATATATCAAGCATATGTATAACACTCACACTAAATAAATTCCATTAAATGTTAATTGAACAAGCATTGTCACTAAGGTGACATAATCCCCCGCCGCAAATTATCAAATCAAACTTATAAAAGAAATGAATGTTTAAGATGAAGTTATATGTCAACAAAAACAGGAACAGTCAACCTCTCTTGATATCTTGCTCTTTAGTTGTTCAAACACACACATATTTTCAAGACTGACTTTCACCTTGACATGAATGTCATAGTGTATGAAATATGCAAAAATAGTACTAAAGAAATTGCTTATTGAAAAAACATTCAAGGGAAGTCTTGAAAGACTATGAAGAAAATCCTGTGAACCGTTCTTGAAATATCTTGCAGACAATTCAGGTTAACATGCTGAAATCTTCAGAGTGTCGTCGTGACCCTGAAAATTACGTGAAGGTCACCAAAATTGACTGGGCCCTTTGCCTTCCCTAGATGAAGCTTGGTGTCAAATATGAAGAAAATTCAGGGAATATATTTTGCGGTATCTTGCTGACTATCTTAACATGCAATTTAACATAATGAAATAATAAAAGTGTCGCCATGACCTTGAAAATTATGTGAAGGTCACCAAAATTGACTGAGCCCTGTGCCTTCCCTGGGTAAAGCTTTGACACAATATGAAGAAAATCCAGAGAGTGGTTCTTGAGATAGCTTAACATGCAGGTTAACATGCTGAAATCTTCAAAGTGTCGCCATGACCTTGAAAATTGAGATAGCTTAAGATGGAGGTAAAACGTTAAAGTCCCCTTGTGACCTTTCTTATACTGTGATAAATCTAGGTACCAAATATGAAAAGAATCTAGTGAACGGTTCTTAAGATATTCCAATTCGTACGGACGGAGTCTAATACTATATCCCCCGCTTAGCGCTAAACGCGCGGCGGGTGATAACAACAAACTTTAAAATATTTTTAGCCAGTCAAAATATAGTATGCTATACGTAATTAATGTGCTACACGCAAAACTGGTAATTGATAATACTTTCATTTGCAAAATACACTTTAAGGTGTGTTGCTCAATTGTTATCGTTGATATCTCATACGCAAATACCCACAAACAGATGTTGAACATGATTCCGGATTTTAGTTTTCTCACTCTAATGTGCAGATTAATTATCATACTTCTGTGAACTTATTCATGATGAAGCTATAACAAAGCATGCGAACATAGGAGTAGTAAACGAATCCGTTCTAGTGAACGGGTCCTGATATAATCAAATCAAGTGGTATGAAGTTTTTAGTATATACAATCTGTAATCCTCTAAGTTATATTTTGTTGTTTTTGTTTGTTTCTTTTTCTTTTGTTTTTACTTCTTTTATAAGCTCTCAGTTCCATTAACTGTAAATGGCAAGCTTTCGGATCTCCCAGCACCTGCAGTTTTCATTTCCGAAAGAAAGTCCTTAATTGGCATTCAAGCGCACCTGCAATGTCAAGTCATAGAGATATTAGGTCAGCTGTGACGTCATGATGCTAATTTGAGTGACAAAATTAATAAAAGACATGCGTCGTACCGTTGTGTCATTACAGTCGAATCATCCCGTTGATTTATCGATCTGTTGTTTAATACATTTATGTCATAATTGTTTGATACACCATGTAGTGTACATCTACTAATGTACAAGCCTGCTTGAATGTGAATGCGTTGAATTCCCCAGGTCTCCATCAACAACCTTAAGCTTGCGGTGGTATAACCTAGTGGTTAAAGTGTCTGCTCGTCACACCAAAAACATTTCCAGTGTCCGCCATCGTAATGTTTTTTTGTGAACATTGCTAAAGGCGGCGTAAAAACATGCTCACTACATTTGCATCCCTACCCAGACTTGACTATTGTGTAAGTGGTGCTGCACTGTATTCTTAAGCGTTCATTTTCTTTGAAGGTGATAACATTTTGTAACCATAAGTACCAGCAGTAGGATGCACCTGCATTGTATGTTTGTAAATGAAGCATTGGTACTTTTTTTT